AGAGCCTAATCTTCCAGAAACCAGTCTACTGCTTTGTTCATCTGAGCATCCAGGAGTTTCTGGCTGCAGTCTACATGCTCCACTGTATCACTAGCAGGAACTTAGAGGTGGTGGAGAACTTCCTGGGAGAAACATACAGAAAAACACCAATGGAGAGACTATTGGGACACACTTTCAGGAAAACATCTCTGGAGGGCTTCATGGGAGAAACATATGATGAAACATCTCTGGAGGACTTCATGAATAGAATCATGGAGAATACCCTCTGGAGTCCAAATGGCCACCTGGACCTCTTTGCTCGCTTCCTTCATGGCCTCATTGTGAAGTCCAACCACAAACTTTTAGATTTTCTACTGGGTCAGATGGAGACCAGTCCAGAAACCATCCAGAGAGTCATCAACAATCTGAAGGAGATGAACACTGATAGAATCTCTACTGACAGAAGAATCAACATCTTCTACTGTCTGATGGAGATGAAGGACCTCTCACTATTTCAGGAGATCCAACAGCTCCTAGAATCAGGAAAAAAGGTCTCAGAGATCCAGTGCTCAACTCTGGCCTGCATGCTGCAGATGTCAGATGTTTTGGATCAGTTGGACCTGGAGAAGTACAACACATCAGAGGGAGGACGACGTAGACTGGTTCCAGCTGTGAGGAACTGCAGAAAGGCTCGGTGAGTCCAGATGTTTTCATGGGGTGATGCTGATTCAGCTCTATTGTCCTCCTGGTTGTTCTTCATGGTTCTAGTTGCTTCTGGACATTTTTGCTCTTTAACTTCTTCCTTCATCCTTTGGACCATTTTAACCATTCAAACATCTAAACGTTCATCTCCTTCAGGACAGCTCTGCTGGAGCTTTTGTTGTTTAGAGATTTGGATCATTTTAAAAATATTCTACTTTGGATCAGTTTTCATCTTCCATTGAAATTAATAGAAAACCTTCAGAATGTAGAAAATCAGTGTTTTCTCTAAAGATCCAATCAGCCAGAGACCCATCAGAACCTTTAGACTCCTCTTCACTCATTGGTCTGTTAGCCCAGAATTCACCTTTTTAGTCTATTTGATTGTTTTTATAAAATCACTGTTTAGCTTTGATGGAAACTTGGACCATTCAGATCAGTCCCTGTATTGCTGCTGTTGCCATGGAGATCAGTTGTTTGGATCCAGAACCAACTTTTCCTCCTG